TCTGCTGCTTGTATGCTATTCTTCTAAAAAGACCTCCGGGGTTTCAACAGCAGCCTATTGGGCTGTGTGTACTCCGTGTTTAAAAATTAGAATTCTGTGCTCAGGCAATCCAAATACGGTGCCAAGAAAAGCTGAATTCTGCAACCTGTGTGTATTATGTAAACAGAGAAAATCACTTAGTTTCTCTTCCTTGACATAACATGGCCGGCGGCATGTGGTTGCTCTTTTACAAGATTTATTCTAGTCTCACGCATAGCAGGGGGGGTTGATGTTCAGGTGCACATGTGAAAGCTAATAGCCCCAAAGAAGCACGTGCTTAGAGGGACTTGCAGAAGACATGCAGAGTACTGAACATCTCGCGGAATTATCGTCTCCATGCTTGAAACTGGGAAGCGGGATGTGAGCGGAAACTGCAAGTGCTCGAACATGTCTGCTGGCAAGATGTCCAGGGCGAAACTACACATGCGGGCTCAAGATAGGCAGGGCTGGGCACCGTTGGCCAGGAAGGGAGTGGGCAGGCCAGGGGCCATTTGGAAACATTGGCCTGGGTGCAAATGTATTTCCTTTGGTAACAGGCAGCGATTGGCAAATTCTTTGTAAGAGGTAAAGAATCACCAGCAGGTGGTGCTAAGGAATGGCAGCAAGCATCCAAAGTACCCTTTATTCTGTGCATTTCCATCCACCGCACAGGATTTTGCAGGGTAGGTCTTGAAAAATGTGCAGCTGCACACGGGACTACGTCTGGATTTGTTCCCTTCCTAGGGAAGCTGACCAGTGTTGACTTTTCACAGCCTAGATGCAAACAGTTTGTCAGTGTTTGGCTACCCCCTTAGCATTTGGCCAATGTGGGGGACGACTGGTTCTGCAACTTGGCCCTGGAGTGGAAAGCTGCGTACATAGAGTTCCAGGGCTATCCTGTCCCCGGGCCAGATTTCCCACTGGCAGAATTCCATTGACGTCAATTGAGTTCACCAGCCGAGTGTTTGGCCCGCTCTCTCCTGACTTTGAGCTTGGTTTTAAATGCCCAGCAGTGACAGAGTCTTGGATTTTGACCAGCTCCACATGGGAGTCTTTGAAGGGACAGAGGGGGAAGGTATTTCTGGATTCGTCCCCCACGCTTCCAAGAGGATCACATCGCTCGGAAGTATTTTGAACCTGAGAGAAAGCGGATGGTTTTTGTGCTCGTATCATGGTATCTCAAAGGGACAGGAAGGCAGCTAGATTGTCAGACGGGACTTCTCTTCTGGCTCCTGGGTTTGCTTGTGTCATTAAACTCCCGGTTCCCTTTAAAAGAGGGGGAGGATCATATCTGTCTGTCTGTAGAGTACACCCTCAAGTCGCAGTTGGCTTCTGGCAACCCCAGTAAGGGCCTTTTGGGGCAAAGTGAGAAGCAGGGCTGGTTTTCGCCATTGCCTTCCTCTGCAGAGTTTGCCTTGGCAGTCTCCCTTCCAAGTAGTGGCCTTGCTTAGCTTCCAAGGTCTGCCTCCCCTCCCACCATATATATTACCCTATGTAAATACGTATGCTAACAAGTAAATACGTATGCTATGACGTATCTGACAGTTTTAGCGTGGTCTAGTGCCAGACTAGGACTGGGGAGGCCCGAGTTCAAATCCTGACTCTTCCATGGAAGTCCTGAGGTATTATGTATGTATGAGGGGAGTGGTGGCACAGGGGATTTATCGGGTTGAGTCCCCCCCCCCTTTCCAGTGTTCATCCAGTCGGCCTGCTTCCTAGGGTTGCCAGGCTCCAGGTAGAGCCTGGAGATCTCCCGGAATTACAAACTCCCAGAGATCTCCCGGGATTACCAGTGACCAATCTCCAAACTGTACCACTTCCTTTGGCTGCCTGAGTAGACCAGAACACAGAAGTTCTCCTGGTCACCCAAAGATAATTTTGGAAATCACCCTTCCTGCCACATAACCTTAACTCCTCTCTTTCTCGTCCCTAAAAGGCGGCCCGTTGGATGAAGAACGTTCCGGGTTTCCGGCCTTCAGCGGGATCGCTCGCCTGACTTGGCTGGTTGACCTTTTCGGGAACCTCACTGTTGTGTCTGCCGCGAGGGAAGAACAGAAAGAGAAGAACTACTCCAGGATGACCGTGCAGTTTCAGACGGCAAACAAGAGGTTGGTAGCGTGAAGGTTGAGAACATGCTGATCAATAGGGCTGCCAGCTCTGGGCGGGGAAATACTTGGAGATTTGGGGGGTGGAGCCTGGGGAGGGCAGGGCTTGAGGAGGGGAGGGGCCTCAGCAGGGTATAAAGCCATAAGGTCCACCCTCTAAAGCAGACATTTTATCCAGGGGAACTGATTGCTGTAGTCTGGCGATCAATTGTAATAGTAGAAGACCTCCAGGCTCCACCTGGAGGTTGGCAGCCCTACTTATCAGTCACAACTGCATCTCTGCTGCTTGTATGCTATTCTTCTAAAAGGACCTCCGGGGTTTCAACAGCAGCCTATTGGGCTGTGTGTACTCTGTGTTTAAAAATTAGAATTCTGTGCTCAGGCAATCCAAATACGGTGCCAAGAAAAGCTGAATTCTGCAACCTGTGTGTATTATGTAAACAGAGAAAATCACTTAGTTTCTCTTCCTTGACATAACATGGCCGGCGGCATGTGGTTGCTCTTTTACAAGATTTATTCTAGTCTCACGCATAGCAGGGGGGGTTGATGTTCAGGTGCACATGTGAAAGCTAATAGCCCCAAAGAAGCACGTGTTTCGAGGGACTTGCAGAAGACATGCAGAGTACTGAACATCTCGCGGAATTATCCTCTCCAAGCTTGAAACTGGGAAGCGGGATGTGAGCGGAAACTGCAAGTGCTCGAACATGTCTGCTGGCAAGATGTCCAGGGCGAAACTACACATGCAGGCTCAAGATAGGCGGGGCTGGGCACCGTTGGCCAGGAAGGGAGTGGGCAGGCCAGGGGCCATTTGGAAACATTGGCCTGGGTGCAAATGTATTTCCTTTGGTAAGAGGCAGCGATTGGCAAATTCTTTGTAAGAGGTAAAAGAATCACCAGCAGGTGGTGCTAAGGAATGGCAGCAAGCATCCAAAGTACCCTTTATTCTGTGCATTTCCATCCACCGCACAGGATTTTGCAGGGTAGGTCTTGAAAAATGTGCAGCTGCACACGGGACTACGTCTGGATTTGTTCCCTTCCTAGGGAAGCTGACCAGTGTTGACTTTTCACCACCTAGATGCAAATAGTTTGTCAGTGTTTGGCTGCCCCCTTAGCATTTGGCCAGTGTGGGGGACGCCTGGTTCTGCAGCTTGGCCCTGGAGTGGAAAGCTTTGTACATAGAGTTCCAGGGCTATCCTGTCCCCGGGCCAGATTTCCCACTGGCAGAATTCCATTGACGTCAATTGAGTTCACCAGCCGAGTGTTTGGCCCGCTCTCTCCTGACTTTGAGCTTGGTTTTAAATGCCCAGCAGTGACAGAGTCTTGGATTTTGACCAGCTCCGCATGGGAGTCTTTGATGGGACAGAGGGGAAGGTATTTCTGGATTCGTCCTCCACGCTTCCAAGAGGATCACATTGCTCGGAAGCAGGGCTTTTTTTGTAGAAAAAGCCCAGCAGGAACTCATTAGCATAATAGGCCATACCCAACAGCAGGAACTCATTAGCATATTAGGCCACACCCTGACAGCACAGCTCATTTGCATATTAGGCTACAATCCAGCCACATCTACCTTTTGCTTCTTATTCTCTTTACCTTGTTTGTTGTCAAAACCCAGGGCGTTTTGCATGTTAGGCCACACACCCCTAATTGTAGCCAATGATCCAATCCTAATGAGTTTCTGCTGTTGGGTGTGGCCTGTTATGCTAATGAGCTCCTGCTGGGCGTGGGCAACTTGGGAGCCAGCCGGAACTCCATTCCTGTGCGTTCCTGCCCCAAAATAGCCCTGCTCGGAAGTATTTTGAACCTGGGGGAAAGCTGATGGTTTTTGTGCTCGTATCATGGTATCTCAAAGGGACCGGATTGTCAGACGGGACTTCTCTTCTGGCTCGTGTGTTTGCTTGTGTCATTAAAACTCCGGTTCCCTTTAAAAGAGGGGGAGGATCATATCTGTCTGTCTGTAGAGTACACCCTCAAGTCGCAGTTGGCTTCTGGCAACCCCAGTAAGGGCCTTTTGGGGCAAAGTGAGAAGCAGGGCTGGTTTTCGCCATTGCCTTCCTCTGCAGAGTTTGCCTTGGCAGTCTCCCTTCCAAGTAGTGACCTTGCTTAGCTTCCAAGGTCTGCCTCCCCTCCCACCATATATATTACCCTATGTAAATAAGTATGCCAACAAGCCCTTGGGGCAGGTGAGAGCTCTGGTCAATGTATGACGTACCTGACCGTTTTAGCGTGGTCTAGTGGTTAAAAGTGCCAGACTAGGACTGGGGAGGCCCGAGTTCGAATCCTGACTCTTCCGTGGAAGTCTTGAGGTGTTATGTACTTACTTACTTGTGCCCCCACTTTTGTCCCCAATGCAGAACAAAAGTACATCATCCCTTTCTTCATTTTATCCTCACAACCACCTTGCGAAATAGATGGGGCTGAGAGTGTGCCTGGCCCAAGGTCACGCAGCGAACTTCCATGGCAGAGTGGGGATTCAAACCTGGGTTTCCTTGATCCAGGTCCAACACTCTGATCGGTACAGCACACGAGCTTTTGCCTTTGCTGTCACGCTCTCTGTTCTTTGACCTCAGCAGACCACGTGTTTTAGACGGTTGCATTCATGTGCAGCCCTCCCGACTTTGAAGAGCTTTATAGGTGAAAAGCGGTACAAGTGGGGGAAGACAGGGATGATCCATCTCGACTTCATGAGGGGGTAGGTCTTAACCTCTCAAGCTGCTTCCCCGTGGGAATTTTCCCCACACGGCATGCAGGAAGCCCCTGAATTAAAATGGGAGCATCCGTGTGACCTTGTAACTCATTCTGAGCATGACCGATCAGATCTCTTGGGGCTTTCCTCTTGGAACTGGATTTTTTTTTTAAACACTTTTTACCTGGGAAAGGGCTGTGGCTCAGTGGAAGAGCCCCTGCTTGGCATGCAGAAGGTCCCAGGTTCAATCCCGGCATCTCCAGTGAAAAGGACCAGGCAGTGGGTGGTGTGCAAGACCTCTGCCTGAGACCCGAGAGAGCTGCTGCCAGCCTGGGTAGGCAATACTGACCTCGATGGACCCAGGGCCTGGTTCAGGAGAAGCCAGCTCCGTGTGTGTGGTTTGAAGGGGGGAACAGGGGGGTGGCTGAAAATAGGTAGGGGACAGAGCTAAGCTCCAAATGAGCAGAGCTGAGCCCTGCAATTCCTCCAGTCCTTTTTGGCCCTTTCCTTGGCATTGTTCCTTTCCTATCTGAGCTGTGCTGTAGCTTTTACAGCAGGGCTCTGCTGGGGAAGCGATGGAAGAGGAGAGGTCCAGGTCGCATTGTGATGACCGTTGTGTCTGCACTCATGCAAAGGTGCAGCAGAGGAAAAAGAAGAGGGGTGGGGGTTGGGGCACTGTGAATGGCATGGGTATGGGGCACGTGGATGCCACTCTCACAGGCTCCCATGTTGCTTCCGGCTTTGGGGAGGCGGACGAATTTTTGCTCCCCTGTGTGGAAGCAGACTCAAGGAGGAAAGCTGGATTATCTGACTTGCAACCCACTTCATGAGAACATTAGAATAGCCCTGCTGAATCAGACCAGTGATCCATCTAGTCCAGCATCTTGTCTCAAACAGTAGCCAACCGGTTCCTCGGGATGGCCGACAACAGGGAATAGAGGCCGAGGCCTTCCCCTGATAAGAACATAGAGAGAGAGAGAAGGTTTTTATTGTATTTAGCCATAGGCCATTACAGACCACAAACAGAGAAGAATGCAATAAAACATAGAAAATTGTATAAAATAAGATACAGTCTGAAACATTATAAATCCATAAAACCGAGGTTATAAACAGTTAATTAATTCACAACATACCCACTAAAATCAGTATTAGCTAGGAACAGCGTTGGCCCGTATTTTCCTTGCAGCCAAGGCAAATAGAGCCATTCTATTGGATACATCGGCATTGGCATCGGCTAGCAAAAATATAATCTTCTCTGGTACTGAGTAAAAGCTTAAAACTGTTAAAATACCAGATAAAATTTTTGACCTAGGCTGGGAATACAATGGGCAATCAAAAATGTAATGGGAGAGATCCTCAACAGCATAAGAAGAGCCCTGCCGGATCAGACCAATGGTCCCTCCAGTCCAGCATCCTGTCTCACACAGTGGTCAATCAGTTCCTCTGAACAGTCAACAACAGGGCACAGAGGCCAAGGCCTTCCCCTGATGTTGCCTCCTGGCTCTGGGATTCAGAGGCTTAGTGCCTCTAGATGTGGAGGTTCCCCGCAGTCACCATGCCTAGTAGCCATTGAGAGACTTATCCTCCATCTTCCATCTCTGTCGTACTATGGCATCTTATTAAAACACCTTTGTTTTAAATTAGTGTTTTGGAGCTTCATGTTTCATCATCTTTTTTCCCCTTAAATCCTTCCTCTTCTTTACACGTAGGCCTCTGACTTGGATTGAAGAAAGGGCGCCAGGAATGAAACGCGATAAGACGGTCAACTTCTGTTTCAAAAGTGGATGCTTAGAAAGCCTCCCCGAAGCCCCCCGTGCGGCAGTCGGCCTCTTCATGCAAGACCTCATCCTCTTTGCCAAAAAACTCTTGGGCCAGGTTTCCAAAGATGAACTGGCTGCAGAAAAGAGGCGGATTCTGCGATGCCTTGACCTGGCTGACGAAATTCAGGCTCACTGTGAGCAGACACCCAAAATCTACTCTTGAAACCTTTGAATCTTGCTATATAGAGTTACTGCTCCTTGCGCTCCCCCCAAAGGTTAAGAGTTTTCTAACAAATTCAGGCCTGTCAAAGCACATTGCGCTTTTAAAACAACCTTTACTGGCCTTTATATTGTATAATGTCACTTAATCTGTAACATATTTCTAAATCTATCATGAACGCTGATCTAAGGTTAACCAAAGGGACTCCGAGTTTTATAGGCTATCCTCAATTTAAGAGATTAGCAGTGAAAGACATAAGAACACTTCCCTTGGAGTAAGGCCCGTTGAGTAGCTTGCAGTAGGATTTTGAGTAGACCTGCCTAGGTGGCAGTCATAGGAATTTTTCCAGGAAGTAATTTTTGTGTCTGAAAGTATCTTCATCTAAGAGCAGAACTATGTCTGACCCAAAACAGGTAACTCAGGGTGGAGTTGTCTCCTCATAATGCCGTGTCAGATTAGTCGTGTCTTCTCCCCACGCCTTTCTCAGTCTAACTGGCTGCCACCAGGAGGCATGAGGATGACATGGATAAATCTGGCTCAGTGTTACAGGGACTGGAGGGACAATTTCCTACGCAGGGCTGCCGTTTTTCTGTGGCAGCCCTGGTCAAGTGTTGTATGAAGAACATCAACCTGTGTAACACACAACTGGTGAGAGATGAGCCAATTCCTTCCACCATTCTATGTTGATAATGGTTCCCTGGATTCATTTTGCCCTACATTCCACTCCTCCTGAACTGTGGTTTAATTATGAGGATTTCTAAAGTTAATTTGAGAACTGGAGCATGCGCCGGTTGCCGTGGCTGTCAGTTCATTTGCCTCTCTTTTCTCTCTCGTTGTTTTTTCCCAGTGTTCCCAGTCATTTAAAGAAAGTAGGTTAGCCATCATTACATGGTTTTTAATAATGTGTTTAAGAAACGTGATTATGTTAAAGATCTTCTCCCCAACCAAAAAGTAAGAAAAAAATAAAAGAACATTTCAGCCCTAACCCGGGGCTTTCCCCCCAGAACCCAGTACAATAACAGGGGAAAAACCCTCTATAAAAGCAAAAGAATTGCTCATTTTCTGGGGTAACCTGGTTCATGGGAGGCAATGGGAAAAGAAGCACCCAGACCCCCCCCAAAAAAAGACTTCAATAATGATTCATAACGATCAACAATTATAATAGACTTAGAATATGCAAAACACAGTAAAGTGGAACTTTTAAGAACTATTTAAGGAACAAGGGAGTAGAATAAACAGCTTATGGAGTTTTTTTTATCGGGATCTTACTCCACTTGTGGATGGTAGCAGGTGTTTGGGGGCAGATTTCTTTGGTGAGGGCGTCAGCTCGGTCTGGAAGTTTTACATTAAGAGCATTCAGCAATGTTAAGCCTATATCAGGAAGACAGCTGGCTTGCGAGCATCGCCCTTTATGATTCCCAGAGAGTTTCCATGGAAAGCCCCACCTGTATTTGATATTGGCTTTAATCAGTGTTGCCATAACAAATTTCAACTCCTTTCTCCTTGATAAAGCTTCTGATGATATGTCTGGGGAGACTGAGCCCCCCCTGACAAGTAGATGGCCACAAAAGTGAGCATCTTTTAGAATTCATAGATCTATGGTCTTTGAATTTTATGACAGTGTCTCCTGAACATTTTGAATGAGGAGTGGGCCATTCCTGAAAGTTTTTTCATTAAGGGGTGCAATACCATCTTCAAGTTGGGGAACAGAAGCCATCGAAGTTGAAATAAAAATAACGAGATCACCATTTTCTTCAGTGTGTTCTTCAAACCTTCTGAAGTGGAGGTTATCTTGTTTTGGGGTATTTTCCAGATAGATGATTTTATCCCTTATAGAGTCTTCATTTGATTGGAGTCATTTCACTTCCTCTTGTAAAATTAAACCTAGCTCCATCACAGTTTCAGCAGTCTTAGTAGTTCTGTTTATGGTGCTGGCCATGTCCTTAAATTGGGTGGAAACTGACTCCATAAAACTTTGAATTTTGCTAGACATCCTCGCATCCAGCTGATCCAAAAGGTCGCAGAAAGCTCTTTTAGTTAGTGGGTCTGTACTTTCCTGCAGTGCATCACTCGTGGCCGCCATTTTAAAGGACTCTTCCATTTTGGGGCCGGGGTTCTTCATATTTCCCAATGGGAAAAAGGTTTCATGGAGGTAAGGCCACCCTTTGCATTTTTAGATTTAGATCCTGTTGTTTTGCCCATCTTTTGAAATATTTGTTCATCGTATTTGTCTGCTGGGAGGAAAGGGTTGGGAGCCTCAGATTCTTGCGTCTGCCATCTTGGATATCGCTCCAACCCCCCCATAAGTGCATTTTAAGAATACTTTGAAAAGTGCCTCAAGCTTTCTTTTTCTTTTTCTTTTACTTTATTGTATATCAGCTTATAATATAAACTTTGAAATGAAATATATACAGAACAAAGGGTCATAAACATAAGGAAATCTAACAAAACATTACTCAAATAGATAAAAGGGAAATTATGGGAAATAGAGTTTACAAATAAAGTATTTGTACTGGAGTAATTTTGAGAGGCAGAAATATTTACTTAAACGTGCCAATTTCTATTAGACTTAATTAATGACTACAATATACAAATAAGGTAGAAGCAGAATAGAGTTGGCAACTTGTAGATTATTATTAAAGAATGTTAATTTTATTTCCTTGTTGTAAAAAAAGCTTGTAATTAATTGTAAGATTTTTAAATCAATAAAAATTTAATTAAAAAAAGTGCCTCAAGCTATTCTGTTTACTTATAGGAATGATCTACCATGGTTATGTTGTAGCTGAAGTTCACGGACCACCAAGATTCACATCACCTTGTGCACAAGAATGGTCTACTATAGTCGGTCAAGGAAATTATGTAAGGGGGAAAGGCAAAGGCCCCTGCTCCCCTTTTGCCATTGCCCTGATCCGAATTGGATAGGATTGCAAACCCCCAGGTGGCACCTGGAGATCTACCACGAGATCTACCTCTCAGCAGGCATCAGACCTAGCGTCTTCCATGGCAGCACTGGGGCTCTCCCAGATTGTATCAGATCCAACGCACCAAGCAGGCCACACACTGGATTTGATCTTTGGCATGAGGTGGATATGGATCTGGTGGTTAAAGACGAGGTGCCACGGCCAGAGCACTTTGCCCTGAAGGCCCTGTCAAGGCGGTGAGCGGATTTATGCCCACCCAAGGTTGCCTTGAAGTGGCTTACCTCATTTCTCCAAGGTCAGGGTCAGAGGGTGGCACTAGGAGAGAGGGTGTCATAAGAACATAAGAGAAGCCAATGTTGGATCAGGCCAATGGCCCATCCAGTCCAACACTCTGTATCACACAGTGGCCAGAAATACCAGGTGCCATCAGGAGGTCCAGCAGTGGGGCCAGTGTCAACTAGGCGCCCTTTAGTTTGTGGGGTTCCTCAGGGGGCAGCCCTCTCTCCGATGTTGTTCAACATCTATATGTGCCTCCTCGCCCAACTGATGCAGAGCTTCGGACTCGGTTGCCATCAGTACACGGATGACACCCAGCTATATCTACTGAGAAACAGACTATCTGTTCTCTTGATTCAGTTAATTAATGTGTGTGTCTGTCATTGGAATTGTGAAGCTAAGAGGAAAGTGTGATCATGCCATGGCCAAGGAACCCACTAGCTCTCCTGTCAAGTTAAGATCTACACAAAATCTGCTTGTTGCCAATCTTGCATGCTTGTCAATTCTCCTTTCTCCTCAAGAGAATCCTTTGGTAAAAGCTAACTCCAGTTATCCTTGAATGCAAACACAGTTTAACCAGAGTAAGTATCCGCCTCACTAACCAAAGATTCTAAACCTGGATTATACTCTGGTTTGGAATACCGGTTAGCCGGAGGAAAGTTAGCTTCAGATTACCTGCGGATCATCAGTAACTGGAATGAGCTTTTAGCTGCAAATCTCCATGTGGGAAGACACAGCAGAGAAGTGAGAGTCATATGAATGTTTACTTAGCTGTGACTTCACTTCTGAATGCAGCTGCTGAGTTCCCTTTCTGCATTATGTCTGTGTCTTCATCCAGAATAAGAACTTTGGGCTGGGATATCACCAGTACACTGATGACACCCAGCTATATCTGTTGATGGGTGGCTGGCCAGATGCCGCCCCAGTGAATCTGGCTGAGGGTTTGGAGGCTGTGATGGGATGGTTAAAGTAGATTCAGCTGAGACTGAATCCTGCTAAGACTGAGGTTCTGTGGCTGGGGAGGGGGGATTCAGAGCCGGGGTATCCTCTCCCTGCCCTTGATGGTCGCCCTTGGGTACCAGCACCAACAGTCAAGAGCCTGGGTGTGATTC